CTGAGTGGGCTTCTTGCATGGCCTCAAACCTCCAGCCTGTGGCTCATCTGTGGCCCAAAATCCCTGGCTGGCTCGAGTGCCCCAGAAAAGCAGCGGCAGCCACAAGGGGAAGAGTAGGGGTGGCCAGCCGCTCCCTGTAGCCACTACCACACTAGCCAAAAGTGGCACTGTGACAGCTGCCAGGGGTGAGGGAGCGGCAGTGGCAAGCATGGGCAAGGGCTTCCCTCCCCACCCAAGCGGGCTACTTGCATGGCTCTGGCCCGCAGCACTGACGTGGATCCACGGTCTGGAGTGCCTGGCTGGTGGAGTACCCCAGAAGAGCCGGCCAGTCCCTGCACAGCCCCAGAAGAGTCGGCCGATCCCCGCGTAGGCCCAGAAGAGCAACAGCTGCAGCCACAGAGGCCTAGCCAATTGGCCACAGCCTCCATTTCCAAAAGCAGGCTGTTCAGTCGCTCCCAGTGCAGTCCTGGACACAGCAAAGAGCCTCGGGATAGTGGGGGAGGCTGTTTTTGCCCTCCCTAAGTTCTGGAGCCTGGGGAGGGCAAAAAACGGGTCTATTGTGGGCCAAAGGGGGGGGGGTCGTGCACACATGCTCAGTTGTGCGTGCATGCACACATGTGGATCGTGCACATAGCATTATGGGTATGGTATGCCTGCGTATGACCCCCTTGCGCTCCCCCCGCTTTTGGCACGGGAGCCCAAAAAGGTTCGCCATCACTGCTATAGATTGTCTTATACCAAAATTTTGATACAATATAAATGGAGTAAAAAGAATGGTCTTAGAAAACATTACACTCAATGTGGGGTTTTTTTTGGTTCTTTTAGTGTTCCATCAAATTTTCAGGATTTTTATTTAAAAATGGGGAGAAGGATTCAGATGTTAGATTTTTCCCCTTTGACTTTCATTTTTAATATTATAGAATGTGAAGTATAAACCATGGTTTTGAGTAAACATGCACAGATCAAATTGCATTCACTCACAATAAAAAATAAGTGGTTTTTTTTTTTAAAAAAAAGCCATACGTATGTGGCTTTGTTTAGTTATTTCCAGGCTAAAGCTGCTGATAATATTCTACATAGCAATCATTATTAATAGTATAATAACCAAAGTGCACATAGCAGTAAAATGAATTACCATATGAATAAAACATTGACAAATTCTAATTCATTAGAAAAGACCAGTTTTTCCCTTTAGAAAAACTCTGATCACAAATTTCATAAAGCATGTTAATTAAATCTCAAAATTACTCTAATTATATTCAAACTTGAATGCTGTTATTTGAAAAGAAATAAGAATAAGAACAATAAAGTCCAAAAGATAAGCATAAAATAAGGTGGCTAAATAATTCAGTATGAAAATTATGGCTATTAAATTCAATTACATTACTTTGGTGGGATTCAGATGGCTATGCCTTTCTTATTCTGTCACCGAGATTACCATTACTAATATTTCTCTAAAAGTATGTATTCTGTAAAGGTGTATTGAATAGTAATGTCATTATCAGTCATGGCTGTACACTTAGTAAGCTATCAGCTGTCCTTGATCTTCTAGTGCCAATGTGTTTCAAATTATTTAATTGGTAGGAATGTAAATATCCCCCTTTATAAAACATAAATTTTCAAAATAATCAAATTGATTATTTAAATGTGAAATAAAGTTTTAGCGTGGAGGCTTTTTAAGCCTCTGAAAATAAAATAAAAAGGTTAAGACACAAAAATGTCTGTGCTCTGAAATTATTTTCTCAGCCAAATTATCGTAGACGTTAATATCTGAAGATGGGATTCAAATAAATTAATTAATAAAATTGTACAGTAATAAATTGGGTTAAAGTGTTCAGTTTGTGTATGGCAGTTACCATGTGAAGACTAACTTTTGTAAGTTGTTATCTGGGGTTATTTGGTTTGTTTTCTATACAAAAAGCATCCACAGTAATATAGCCAGACTGAGATACTAATGGAAAAATTATAGAAATAACTACTTTGTTTATGCTTTTATCTAGTCGGTTTCATGCATGTAATACAGGTAGTCTAATTTAATATTGACTCCAAATTATAATGCACTGAATGAGGGGGATTTAAGATGAATCCTTGTAATTGTGGCCATTGCAGCATTCCTGCAGTCACGTGGTTGCCATTTGTGATCTTCACTACGGTCTTCTAATAAGCAAAATCAATGGGAACCTGGCAAATGGCAATCAGATGACTGTGGCACAACACAGTTGCATAGTATTCAACTAACAGTGGCAACTGGACTTAATGGAACTCCTTTCAAGTGCTGATGTAATGTCACACCTTATGACGGTCTCCTAATGATGAACTTTCCAGTCCCAGTTACATTGATAGCGAGGAATATCTGTATTTGGAAATTAAGTAAGAAAATTCTAAAAATTCTAAAATTCCTACCACAAAACTTTTGAAAAGAATTTCTAAAATATCACTTAAATAAATAATTAGATAAATAGAAGATAAAAGGGGAATTGATAAGAATTAGTTCTCTGAAATATTTTAATGTATTCTGCCAAAGTATTTTAATTAAATTAAACTGAAAATTTGTCATATTTATAATATTGCTTTCTAAATATATTAATTTAATCCCTATTCTTTTACTTAAGAACAGTTAAAAAAGGAAAATACATAAAATACATATGAATATATATATGTATGTATGTATGTATGTATGTATGTGTGTATACACACACACACACACACACACACACACACACACACACACATATATATATATATATATATATATATATATATATATATGTATATGTATATGTATATGTATATGTATATTCATNGGTTTCCTATTTAGCTTGCAGAGCTTGGATTCATTGAATGAGTTTACCAAAAATGTAAATATTGCAGAATATGCAGCCTCATAACTAAGTTCCATTTCATACTGAATAAATTAAATTATTAATGTATCTTAAATAGAAAACTATCTAAGATAGATTTTTACTCCAAAAGCAATTTATTAAAACAAATTTGATTTAAAAAAAATCAGAGTTAAATTATTATTTTTATTTTTTTAAAAAATTCACTTTTTATCTACCCTGGCTGATTGCCAGATGTGGTCATAGTTACTTATTTTGTAGCAGCATTATCTGTTCTTAAGGTGCCAAGAATTGAATTTGAAATGTATGCTATCCAGCTTTTTATGCCAGCAAAATCATTCCACACAAGCATAGGGAGATTTAATGTTTTAAAATAATAACTAGGATCGAACTTCAGGTCCTGTGTTAACATAGGATGCTGCTTTAGTGTTTGCAGTATAAGTCAATTGAAATAGCAACCTAATAGTTTTTGTTTAATTGAGTATCACTGTGCAGCAGAGTCATACTGTTCCTCATACTATAGAAAAGTATTGTAAATGCCTGTGTTTTAATTCAGTGGATAGGTTACTGAATCCTGCCAACAGAGTGCACATGTCTTTGGAAGAGCAGCTGAAAGAATTGTTGGAAAAACTTGATCTCACTTGTGCAATGAAATCCAGTGGGTCTCGGAGCAAACGAGCAAAGCTTCTAAAAAAGGAAATTAACTTGATTCGCATCAAGATAAGTCAGCAACATCATCAGCCCCCTCAAATTGAATCAGGTATTGGAAGTTTTGAAGAAGAAAATGCAGTAGTGGAACACGAAAGTGAAGAAGAAGGTAAGAGACATCTTGATTTAAATCATAATAATACATTCAGAGGGACAAGGTTGGGGGATGACAGAAGAGGTAATTTATTATTAGTTGTAAAGTTTTAGAAGTCCAAAACAGTTCTAAATAGGAGTATAAGGGGTATTTTTTGTTACTACATATAGCTTGAAATGATTTTTTTTTCTATTTTTCCTTACCAGAATCAAACAGTATATTTAAGTGGTAAATTCTGAACCCATGGGAAGAAATATACTCCTTTCCCCCATATTCTTTTTAGGGGAGGGGGATGGATGTTTTAGAAATACTTTAGTGGTCACTATTAATACCTAAATTTACTTTAATTCTGTAGCATAAATTTGTTGATGCATTTAATAAACTTGAAGAGCAACTCCATGCATTTTTATTCAAAATAAAAAATATGTTCTCTTTTGTAGAGATTACTCTCAGGTAATACATGTAAGAGTGCAGTTTCCAAAATACTAGTTTTCTACAAGGGGAATTGTAAATATGTTCAGTACCAATTTTGTATTTAAGTACAATGACAATAAAGAGAAGACTGAAATCAAAATATTTAGCAATATCTTTCCATTTTATCTAAAAGGTAGGGCAATATTGTAATTAGAAACCCTAGATGTTGTAGAAAGCAAAAGAAAGCGCATCCAAGACAGACCCACAATCACAATACTAAATATTTGGAAATCAAGTTGATTCCTAAGTAATTTACAATCTGTAAGAGGTTGGTGGTGGTGTCATAGCCAGTTTAATGGGAGAGGTGAACAGGTTAAAAAAAAGTCCAAATTGTTGTTCTAAGTCATAAAGATAGAAGATATAATATTTTTTTCCAGAAGACCTTTCTATAATCTGATACTTTCCAGATTTAATAGTTGACAACAATTGACACTGTAAACATTCCAGTGTTTGCAAATTGTAATGCATGAAATAGGAAAGATATTCTATTTTTTCCCAAATATGATCAAAAGGCACCAGAAATACAAAAGTTATAAAGACCCTTTAAGCACTGCCATAAACAAGCCTGCATCCTTTAGATATAATGTACACAGAATTATTGAATGCTATAGATCCGTGATGGTGAACCTATGGCACACGTGTCAGAAGTGGCACGCAGAGCCATTTCTCCTGGCATGCAGAGCTATCACCATTTGCTCTTCCGGGTTCAGGCACAGTAGCCAACTGGTCTTCACGCACATTGGTGTGCCAGAAAGCAGAAGTGGAGCCTCCTGGTGCACATGTGCACGCCAGGAAAATGATATTTTTGTTTCCAGGGTGCACATGCGCGTCAGCCATTTGGTGATCTGGTTCCTGGTGCCCATGCACACACAAAACCCAGCAACAGGAAGAGCAATGGCCGCACATGCCAAAAGACGCAAAGAGGACTCCCGGCCATCACTTCTTAGCAGACTAGAGCTGTGGTCGGGGCTTCCCTCCTGCCCCATCTGAGTGGGCTTCTTGCATGGCCTCAAACCTCCAGCCTGTGGCTCATCTGTGGCCCAAAATCCCTGGCTGGCTCGAGTGCCCCAGAAAAGCAGCGGCAGCCACAAGGGGAAGAGTAGGGGTGGCCAGCCGCTC